GTTAAAAAGGACAATACCATATTTCTTACTAACAACCTTACAATACTTTTGATTATAGATGATGTCATAACTATTATCACTGAGTTGAATGATAGATAATAAGTTATGCATCAAACCACAAACTAAAATAACATTTGTAATAGAAGGGAGTTTACCATTACCAATAGTTCCATAGCCAAAGATCTTTCCTTTCTGGTTTCCTCCGAAACCAACGAAGCCTCCAAGCTTAAGTTCCAAATCTTGGAACATATGCCTTATGCCTGTCACGTTTCGTGAGCATCCAATATTCAGGTACCTTGGTTGGTGTTTCAACTGAGCTGCTAAGGATGTCTATAACATAAATGATCTTATCCTAAGTACCAACTTTCTAGATACTTTCTTGTTAGTTTTATTAGAGTTTCTTACAACCTTGGGTTTCTGTGCAACAGGATAATCAAGTGGAAATTATGCATGCTACTTTGGTTTTAGAACAAAATTTAGTGTCTGTGAAGGTTTTTGTGCAAGCTCAAAACAATCAAACTTAGTGCCAGCAGATAGAAAATGCTCATAGAAAGGTTTTAGTTTTACATTCTGAATTTCATCAGGTTTTGAAGTTTCTATACAACCTAAATATTTCTTGCCATTTGTGCTAACTCCATAGATCATGGAAGCCATTTTTCTTCTATCTATGCTTTTAGCCAGATAGTGCCGGAATGATCTGTCATATCTGATGACGCAATTAGTACCAGAAGATTATGAGATTATTTCTTCCTCTAGTTTTGAAATTTTGCTTTTCAAAGCAGAGTTGTTACTTTTTGAAGAAAAAATATTTTCATATAGAGAAGAAATATCCTTTTCAAGCTTACTACGAGTTTCAAAAACAACTACTTGGACTTGTTTAAGGTCCTTGTATTTACTTTGAAGACTTTGGTACTTTTCCACCATTTCAGAGAGGCATAACTCTAAATCAGAACGAGATAGTTTAGAAAATACCTCTTCAGAATTGGAGTCTGATTTTGAATCTGATTCTAAAAACACTTTGTCTTTTGGTTCTTCAGAACCTTCAGGATTAGCTGTAGTTGCCATCAGTGCAACGTTGGCCTGTTCCTATTTAGAATCTTCTTCTTCTTCTTCTTCTTCTTCTTCTTCTTCTTCTTCTTCTTATATAGCCATGAGCCCTTTCTTGACCTTATTGAGTTTAGGACTCTCGTTCTTGAAGTGATCCAGATCCTTACACTCATAACATATAACTTCTTTTCCAGAACCTTGCTTCTTCTATACAAACGAAGAATCAGAACGACCAACGCTCCTCCTAACTCCTTTGAACTTCCCTTGGCCATTCTTCCTATGTCTCCAGAGTTTGTTGACCCTTCTGGAAATAAGTGACAACTCATTATCATCTTTTGAGTCATCATCAGAATCTTCTGGTTCTTCCTCAGGTTGATAAGCCATTTCCTTTTCAGGACTGGACTTCAAGGCAACATATTTACCTTGCTTATGAGGTTCATCTTCCTCGAGCTCTATCTCTTGACTTTTAAAGAACTAACAAGTTGTTCAAGACTAATACTATTCAAATCTTTAGATAACTTCAAGGCACTTACCATAATTCTCCATTTTTTGGGGAGACTTCTGATGATTTTCTTGACATGGTCAATAGTAGAATATCCTTTGTCCAGAACCTTGAGTCCTGCGACAAGCATCTAAAATCTTGAGAACATAGTTTCAACGGTTTCATCATCTTCCATTCTGAATGCCTCATATTTCTGGATTAATACCAAGGCCTTTGTCTCCTTTACTTGAGCATTCCCTTCGCGAGTCATCCTCAAAGAATAAAAAATGAACTTAGTAGTATCTCTGTTTGTTATCTTCTCATACTCAGTATAAGAGATAGAATTCCCTTCGTCCCGTTGTTGTCTACACGGGGGAGAAAGGGAACGTTTTTCTCGTCGTCTAGGGGATGGGCTGTGAGAAACTAGGCGCCCATGTCTCCACGGGGGAGAGCATGATTGTCGTTCCTTTTCCAACATCATAGTCCGTTCGTTCTGTTGGAACATCATTAAGTTCGTCTGGTTGATCACCCCGAACAAGGCCACCATGGCCGGGTCGGCGTTGGGCGACACATGAACGGGTTGGAAAACAGCTGGAATGAAGTTGGTTGGGAATTTCGATGCCATGTTCTCATTTGAGAAACTAAGTAAAAATTAAAGTTTTTTAAATTTGGTGGACTTTGACAAAAGTTAATGTGAAGTTCTGTCGAAGTGGTTTTCATAAGGAGACGTGCTTGGACAAAAAACTTAGAAATATTTTTCAAGTATGGAAGGTTACTTCGACGAAGGGATGATTTGGAGCTTTCCTTCGACAAAAGTTTGAATTTCAAAATACGGATAGATAATTGTCTTTTGTCCTTATCTGTTTTCTCATGAGAGACACGTGGAAAACTATGGTGAAACAAAGGCATGCATGGCGAAACGTGTCAACTTTTGGAGAAATGCTCGTTGGAGACAGTTATTTCAATGTATGATAAATAGGAGTCTTAGTATTAGGATTTCGTGTGTTCAATTGTTGTACTGTACTCAAAATTCACTCAAAGTATCCAAGTTAACGTGAGCAAATAGTTACTGTAGAGAAATGTACGTTGAAACACCTTACATTATTCAATAAAAATTTACTTTCTTTTATCAATTACTCTTTATTGCATTTCTTTATTTTGAAGTTGTTTTCTTAACTGCATTTCTTTTATGAACTTTTGCAAAGTTTAACCTTTTCAACAAACAATCCAAACAAGCTTTTACACTAATGAATGTTGTCGAAGTGTTCATCAATTTTTCATAAATAGATTAATACAATAGCTATGTCCTCAGGATTCACTGGTTGATCCTGCAAATAAATCAATTTTTTGGAAGACCAGCGGTTGTTTATCAAATTTCCACGATAAACAACTGTCGAACCGTTGGATAGTGTTGTCGGCCGCATCGTTGGAGGAGGGAGAGGTGGTGCGCCCGTCCCTGGGGTCACCCTCTTCGACGGGGACAGCCATGTCAGTATCATGGTCGTCGTTGTTGGTAAAGGTGGTGAAAGCAGTTTCATGGAGGTTATCGTCAACGCATGGGCTGACCAGGATCGATGGAAGTTGAGATATGCTTTGGTTCTTTGATTTCTAAGGAAGAAAGAACGGGAAAGTAAGAGATGCCCACAGACGGCGCAACTGATCTTTCCAGATCAGAAAGAGATCAATAGCTAACAACACGTCGTGAGCTCGTTGTTCTATGGTGGTTGAGAAGAGGATGGGGTGTACCCGCAAGATACTCCGATGCCAAAGTGAGAAAAGGGAGAGAGTGAACAAGTATAGAAGCAAGTGAGTTCATAATACCTGACTCTCTTGTGAAAGAAGGTATTTATAATGTGCCCCAACACTGGGCCAACCGTTATTTGTATTGAGTTGGATCTTCAAGCCCAATACGGATAACTGTCAGGATCTACGTGGCATAGAGAAGAACAACACGTGGTCTTTGTTCTGTGTCAACTGCCCTGTGATCTTCGGAAGGTGGGTGACCTGTTCTTTCAGACGCGGGGAGTTGCCTAATGACGTGTCCCCGCGTGGGGAGCACATGGAGACTGTGGAAAAGACGCGTAAGCGGTCCTCGTGTGATTGGGAATTAGGCCTTATTAGATCTTCCCAGATAAAAAATTAGATTGAACCGTGCACAACAGTAGACCAATCTCTGTCCCAGTCCAAAACAAAATTATTTAAATGTGATTTGATTTGCATACAATAAAAGTTTTTGAAAAGAATGAAATAATAGGGTGTTTGGAGTTAAGGCATTGACGTGTGAGCAATTAGTCGATTAAAAGTTAAAGTTCTTGTTTGGAATGGTTAAAAGCGAAGAAAAAAAAAGTTTTGGTAATAATTTGAATACTCTGATTAAATTCTGCGACTTGCTTTGATTTGGATGTTTTTTATGTAGTTTTATCACTCGGTTTTCCTTCTAATTGTTGGTTATAATCTTAGGCACACCTTTTACTAAAGATACCATCAATTAAATTATTTGACTTTTAAGAAATTCAAATATATGTATTTTATTTGTTAATAATAAATATTTATTTTATATTTTTTATATATTAATAATAAATATTTGTCATGTATTTGTTATCTTCATTAGTGATAAATATTTGACTCGTATTTGATATATGTATATTTATTTGTCACAAATATTTATCTTGTATTTTTTAAAAACATTATTTACAAAAATTTAAAAAAAGAATAAAAACAACTTTTCTTTTATATTATTAATATTAAATTATAATAAATAAAATAATTATCTTAATATTACATTACATTTTAAAAAAGGATTATTTTACATTAATTTATATAGTTGTTTTTTGATGCTTAATAGCTAAGGTTTGATCCTCATCCATTTATCTTAATATTATATTACATTATATTATATCTTATTAATATTACATTAAATATTAGATAATTGTTTTTTGATGCTTAATAGCTAAGGTTTGATCCTCATCCGTTTATCTTAATGTTACAATACATTTAAAAAAACAATTATTTTATATTTATAAAGTGTGACATTTATATTCTTTTTCCTATTTTAAAATAATTATAAATTTATAATACCAAAAGTATCATATTTTTCTTCATTAATACATTTTTATTTATATACTTTTTCTATTTCAAAAATAATTATAAATATATAATATCAAAAGAATCCTATCTTTCTCCAACAATAAACTTTTTATTCACTGAATTTTACTCTATTTATTTTTTTATTAGTAAATGTTTTATTAAACAAGACCACATGCATTAGATTAAAAAAAAGTCTACATTATTAGCCAAACATACAGTCATTTTAATTCCCGCCAAACACACAAATCATTCATTGAACAAAGTCATAGAAAACCGCTATAAATTAAACACTCCTATCATTCTCATTTTCACTCACATTCACTTAACCGTTCTCTCTTTTACCATTTCTGCATTCACAGCGCGTGAAACCCTAACCCGATAATCCATGGCTTCCAAACCCACAACCAGTTCATCCTCCGCCACATCAACCATCTTCAAGCCCGGAACTTTAGTTGAAATCAGCATCAACGAAGTTGGATTCCTTGGTTCATGGTTCACGGGAAAGATTGTCCGTTGTCTCGCAGATGACAAGTTTGTTGTCGAGTATGAAAAAATAATGGCTGATGAGGAGGGAAGAAAGGGCCTCCAAGAAACTGTTGAGCGTTTCCAGCTCCGTCCAATTCCTCTGGAGGAGATCAGCCAGGACATCCAATATGGTGATGAAGTTGAGGCTTATCACAACGACGGATGGTGGGAGGGTATTTTCTCCGGATCACTAGAGGATGGTAGGAAGGTCGTGTGTTTCAGAAATTCGACACAAGTGTATCCCGACAAAGAAGTGAGGCGGCACCATGAGTGGGTCAATGGAATTTGGATCCCACCATTTCCACAACAGGTGTGTTTTTATTTTCATTGTTATTGCATGTCCTAAGATGTTAACTAAACGTTGTAAGGGTTGATATTGTTGTTAATATTGTAGGCTGAAAGTGAAATCAAGAAAAGGGTGAGGGTGAAGGCTTCTGAACTTGTGACTGGAGACAACGTTGATTTCATGTTCAAGCCAGGGACATTGGTTGAGGTATGCAGTGACGAAGATGGTTTAAAAGGAGTTTGGTTTTCTGCAACCCTTGTTGAGGCTAAGGCGGGATGGAAGTTTGTTGTCGAGTACGAGAGCCTGCTCGATGATGATTATTCAAAGCTTTTGAGAGAGGAAATCAGTCTGTTTCAGATTAGGCCTCGTCCACCCAAAACTGATGATGTTGAACAGTTTAAGTTTTTTGATGAAGTAGATGCATACTACCGAGACGGTTGGTGGGTTGGGGTTGTTTCTAAAGTTCTCGAAGACTCCAAATATATTGTTTATTTCAGGAGCTCCAATGAAGAAATGGAGTTTCAACATTCCCAGTTGAGGCTGCATCAGGATTGGGTGGATCATAAATGGGTAATGGCTTCTAAGGTATGATTGGCATAAATACTCTTGTCATGAAATGTTTGTATTGCATCCCTTTTAAAGCGACTCAATCTTTTAGAGTGTGTTGGATTCTTGTCACTTGCTTTTATGATCTAGATTTCTAAAATCTACATTTTCAATGTTTTTTTCTCATACAGTATTTATTATATTTTAATTTGACAAGCTTTTATTTTGAACTATTTCAGGGGTTGAAGTTTTGAATCCGGGAAGTTGGAGAAAAATCCATGCACCATGGAATAATGAAAATAAATGTACTAGTCAGTTCATGCTAGCCAAAACTTTCAACTTGTAGTTCTCATGGATCAAAAATTTGAAAAAAATATTATCTTAATATATATTAGCGTTCAGACGGACGTGAGTGTCCGTCTACTCGTTTTTATTAATGTACAGCCATGTCAAAATATAAAAAATATTTTTTGTATATTTATTTTTTATTTTAATTCAATTATTTATAAAATAAATAAAAAATATAATAGAACGAAAGAGATATCTAAACTACCGTATAAATATTAATGAAAAAAGTTGAGATTTAAAACAAAAACTGAAAAAAGTATAATTAGAATAAAAATAGAGTACACTAAAACCAAGTTTTGACTTATAATTAAATTATTTATAAAATAATAAAAAAAATAGTAGAATGAAAGAGATATGTAAACCACCATATAGAGGTTAATGAAAAAAAAGTTGAAATTTAAAACAAAAATTGAAAAGGGTATAATTGAAACAAAAATAAGTTACACCAAAAATAATTTTTCCCTTTATATATATATATATATGTATAGAAGATTAATGAAAAAGAAGTTGAAATTTAAAACAAAAACTGAAAAAGGTATAATTGGAACAAAATAGACTACACTAAAACCAAGTTTTGCCTTTTAATTAAATTATTTATAAAAGAATAAAAAAATAGTAGAATGAAAGAGATATGTAAACCACCATATAGAGGTTTGATCTGATCTGATCAGAAGGGGATCACGGGCCGGCCACACTCTATTGGACTGCTACGTGCTCACCGGTGCTGAGGAGAAAAAAAGGGGGGTATACCTGCAAAACACTCCGATGCCAAAGTAAGAAATTGGGCAGAGCGAGAGCAAAGTATAGAAATTGGGCAAGAAGTGGATTACCTGACCCTCTTGAGGAAGAGGGTATTTATAGAGAGACCCCAGCGCTGGGCCAACGGTCATTTGAGATGGGCTGGATGACCAGGCCCAATCCTAATGACTGCTAGGTCTTACGTGGCGTAGTGAAGACCAGGACGTGGTCTTCGCCCTATTCCAACTGCTCCTTGATCTCCGGAAAGTGGGTTTGACCTGCTCTTTCGGAGGGGGGCAGTTGGTTGATGACGTGTCCCCGCGGAGGGGAGCACGTGGAGAACGTGCGCCGGGCACGTTGTCCTCCCCGCAGGGGAAGCCCGGGAGGTTCCCCGCCGGGCACGTTGTCCTCCTCGCGGGGGGAAGCCTGGGAGGTTCCCCGGAGGGCGTTGTTCTCCCCGCGGAAGGGAGCTCGGGAGGTTCCCCGGAGGGCGTTGTTCTCCCCGCGGAAGGGAGCTCGGGAGGTTCCCCGGATGGCGTTGTTCTCCCCGCGGAGGGGAGGAACCAAGGCCTCGTTTCGATGCGCTGGGGTGTGTCCTGTTCGGCTGATAAGAGGGGACAGCGAGAGGCTGTTGGATGCGTCGCCAGTGTCCGGTGGTGCGTTCCGCCCGTCCTGCGGGGCGCGCGTGCCCGGCATGGCTAATTCGCTTATTGGGCCGTGCGAGGTATTGGGCTGGACTGAGGTCGGGCCCAGGCCAGAACAAGGTTAATGAAAAAAAAGTTAAAATTTAAAACAAAAATTGAAAAGGGTATAATTGGAACAAAAATAAGCTACACCAAAAACAAGTTTGCCTTTATATATAGGTATAGATAAAGGGAATTGCTCATTTTGGTCTATCCTTTTTTTATGTTTCCCAACTTACCTTTATTTGCCGTTAATTACACACTACATGCTAATATGTAACCTCCAGTGTTAAATAACTTCCTCCAACACATTAAATATACCAATAACTTCCTCCGACATCACTATATATGATAACTAGATACAAGTTTACAAAGGAGCAAAGAGAGGAAGAAATAATAATAGATGAGAGACATTGGAAAGTAGACTCTGTAAAAACCAACAATGTTAATTATGCATGTCTTATAATTTGGCTTTAGTGTCTAGTTCTAATTTAAGTTGCTTTGTCGTGAGAGCGAGAAGCCGCTTAACAGCGTTTTGTCACGAAAGTGAGAAATGCATTAAGGTGTGTCCAATAGAGCGAGAGTTTGAGGTAATCACCAGATAGTAGACACTGAGCACTGGACTTAAACACACCGAGAGCGCTTTAGGCTTTAGTTAGGCTTTGTTAGTTTTCGAATTACGTCTACTAACTACTGAGCGAGGGAGAGCAAAATCTTGGGGTTATTAGGTGTGACTTGGTCAATAGCGCGAGAGTGTGAGATTGAGTTTTTAAGCCGGCAATTCCTACAGAACTATACTTGAGACCCTTGTTAGCACCCGGAATCTATAGAGTCCCTTAGGAGCGCAAAAATCATTCTTCGGTATCGTTTCGTTATTTGTTTTAAACCCGTCAGTATTAGTTATTTTTCTGTCCTTTTTTATTCCGTGACATTAAGCGTTAGCTTTACAACGCAATATAAATCACTTTAGGTTGATTATTAATCCCTGTGAGTTCGACAATCTTTTAAAGTGTACATAATCTCATACATAAAATCGCGATCAGTATCATGTTTCAAAATGTACATAATCTTTTTTTCTTTTAAAATAATAATAACTATTATCATTATTTTATAAAAAGAAAACTCATATATAATTTTTTATTTTTTACAAACCCTAAGTTTATAACTCTTGACAAAACAACTCTTTTGTCGTCATAAACTCTAATGCAACTCATTCATATAATCAAAATTGTAACAATCGATTATTCAATTTGATTGATCAAAATGACATTGCTTCTCCATACAAACGAAAATTTTCGAAGCAGAATGAACATTGACCATTCATATGTAACGCATTCATCACACTGATCGAATCAATGGAAAAAATATCAAATATACTTTTGTTGCATCAAAATTTTTCATATCTTATATGAATCGATCAATCACATTTTTACCAATTATGAATGATAGAAATATCGCTGCTTCACCATACAAACGTCGAATTCCGAAACATAATCTACAACAATAAATCCAAATTATACAAACATGATGACAATATTAAATTTCTTATTATTATTATTATTTAATTCATTATACATTTTACTTGAATTAATACACAAATCACAAAAAATAAACAACTATTTGATACATGGTTTCACAAATGGCTCTGATACCACTGAATGGAAATCGCGATACAAGACGCACTGGAAAACAAAAATTTCCCTTTAGGTGATCCTTAAGAAGGATGCATGATTAGTGATAGAATGATTACCTCTTGAAAAAATTAACACATTTGATGCTAAATCGGAGGAATGATCATGAGCGTTGAATGAAGATAATACCTTTACTCAGCCCACATGAACAAAGCGCCTTCAATTATAGTGCTAACTACTACAAATTAAATCTCATACATACATACATACATACATACATACATACATACATACATACATATATATATATATATATATATATATATATATATATATATATATATATATATATATATATATATATATATATATATATATATATATATATATATAACATATCCTATGAGAATGCCATTTTTATGTGATAACTTGAGAATAAATGTGAACCGTTAGATTTTAAAATAAATGGTGGAGATTATGTGTGATTTTTTCAACCTGTACTAACATTTTACTTTATTAAAAGGCATACAACAACAGTTTCAACCGCTGTTGTATGTAGCGTGTTGTTCACAGTTTTGTTTTTTCAAGTTGTACTAACATTGCGCGTTATAAACCTTTGCCGTACATAAACAAATCTTTGCCGTTCATTTAGTGATTATCAATGCTCAAAACAATACCATTAGTGATCCACGTGAAACCTAAAACTTAGACGAATTTCCAACTTATACGAACTTTATCTTCTACTTCCAAACATCATGTTTCATTTACCACTTTCTATTCCTCCACTAAACCAAACTCTAAAATATTATGTCTTCATTAAACAAAACTCGAAAACATTATTTCTTTTATTAACAAATTTCAAAACTGCAAAATCTCTTCTCCAACTTGAATGAGACAAAAAAGTATAGATTCAAGTTAGCAGTGTTAGTTGTCGTTATTCTTTTTTTTTTTGTTATTTTTAATATTTTTGTTGTTCTTGTTGTTATTATGGCTCTTATTTTTAATGTTGTTGTTATTGTTGTTGTTGTTGTTGTTGTTCATCTTCTTCTTGATGTTGCTATTGTTATTATTCTTCTTGTTTTTGTTGTTCTTGTTGTTGTTATTGTTGTTCTTTTTGTCGTTATTCTACTGCTGCATTTTATTTTATTTTATTAAAAGACATACAACAACGGTTGTTTAATACAACTGTGGTTGTATGTAGCGCGCTATTCAGTTTACTATCACGAACAATAGATCGTGATTGTAAATAACCCACTTACAACCACATCCTACCTAATAATGGTTGTTTAACCATTATTATAGATTTTTCACAACCGTTGTTATACGAGTTTTTTTTTTGTTGTTGTAGTGTTTACATATCCTTTAACTTTACAAGTATTCATATTTATTGTTGCATATTTGCAAGACTGCATTGGTTGTATACTATATAGGTTAGGTCGGGCTTATAGCAATTTAGTTTATAAATTTAGATGTGTGGTGTATCAATCTTAGGGAATCATCATGAAGTCAATTATGCATTTTTAAGAACATCTAAGTAATGTGTTTTTAAATCATTTCGTTTAAAGCGAATTTGATTGACTTGTAAGTGACTTGCACTAGAAGCAATAAACCTCATGTACCATTTCATATGGCTTGATTCATTGAGCTGCTTTCAAACTCTCTCGTTTTTTATTTTGCTTATGCCCTTCGTTAAATCTTCGATTTCGTTTTATTAGACCTAAAAAGTTTTCCAAATTGTCTAAAAGAAATTTGAGTCTATTCAATCCTCTCTAAACATTGTTGTTTCTATATTCTCACCCAACATAATTTAAAAACACCAGGGTTTATGTTCTAGGAAGTGAGGGATCTTACTCCACAATCATCTTCTACTAGGTTAGAAAAAGAAAACTCATAGACACCTTATCTTAGAAAAGTAATTCCCCATTTTCCAAGGGAGCTCCGAAGAGAGTAGAGCTTCGAACATAGAAAAAGTAATAATAAACGGAGAGAAACCTTTGAGTCAAATAATTCTACCATGAAGGTTGTGCTTTGCATGAATCAATATATACATCATTAATTTTCATTCTCTATAATTGCTATGGACATAAGAGATTGGAAGTTGACTTATGAGGATGCTACAAACATTGTTAACTGCATATGAGAATCATTTCGAAGGTTTAAAGGTGGGAAATGTGTACGTTTACGGAAAAAGAGAGAATTTGCTGAGCTTCAAAAAAAAATTCGAAGAATTCCTTAGATGCTATTAAAGGAAGGCTCAAAGTAGATAAGAAGGTAAGTCAACAATGTATTAAGCGCCTAGAAAATCGTCAACCACCATTGATTTAATTAGTAACCATCATAAAAAAAATGAAAAAAGGTTTGTATTATTTTCTAAATCTATCAATGACAAAATTTTCTCCTCTCTATTTATATTTTAATAATGAATATTTGTCTTATTTTTTTTACATACGGACAACATATATATGTCTCACTTTTTTCAATTAAAAATATTTTTTAATTAAATCACACTCAATTTATTTTTTTATTATAATTTATAAAATTATTTTATTATACAAGACTACATGAGTTAGATTAAAAAAAAGACTACATTTATTGTCCAAACCGTATACTTCTTTTTTTATTATACAATATAAAGTATGATTATTATTTTTCTAAATTTATCTTAATTCATATTTTTTATTGAAAAATCACAATTACTTTCTTTTTGACACCTTAAGAAGGATGCATGATCCTTAAGTTGATCCTTAACAAGGATGCATGATCAGTGATAGAAGATTACTTATTGGGGCAATTAACACCTTTGATGCTAAATCGAAGGAATGATCATGAGTGTTGAATGAAGACAATACCTCTACTGAGCCCACATGAACAAAGCGCCTTCAATCATAGTGCTAATTACTACGAGTTAAATCTCATACATACATACATACATACACACACACACACATACATACATACACACACACACACACACACACACACACACACACACACACACACACACACACACACACACACACACACACACACACACACACACACACACACACACACACACACACACACACACATATATATATATATATATATATATATATATATATATATAAAATAAATAGTTGAGATTATGTGTGATTTTTTCAACCTGTACTAACATTTTATTTTATTAAAAGGCATACAACAACAGTTACAAGTGTTGTTGTATGTAGCGCGTTGTTCACAGTTTTGTTTTTTCAAGTTGTACTAACATTGCACGTTATAAATCTTTGTCGTACATAAAAAAAAATCTTTGTCGTCCATTTAGTGATTATCAACGTTCAAAATACTACCATTAGTGATCCGCGTGAAACCTAAACTTAGACGAATTTCCAACTTATACAAACTTTATCTTCTGCTTCCATACATCATCTTTCACTTACCACTTTCTATTTCTCCACAAAACCAAACTCTAAAATATTATTTCTTCCATAAACAAAACTTGAAAATATCATTTCTTTCATTAACAAATTTCAGAACTCCATCATCTCTTCTCCAACTTGAATGAGACAAAAAAGTATAGATTCAAGTTAGCAATGTTAGTTGTTTTTTTTTATTGTTAATATTTTTTTTGTTCTTGTTGTTATTATGGCTTTTTTTATGTTGTTGTTATTGTTGTTGTTGTTGTTGTTGTTGTTGCTGTTGTTGTTGTTGTTGTTGTTGTTGTTGTTGTTGTTGTTGTTGTTGTTGTTGTTGTTGTTGTTGTTGTTGTTGTTGTTGTTGTTGTTGTTGTTGTTGTTGTTGTTGTTGTTGTTGTTGTTGTTATTATTTTTGTTGTTGTTATTCTTCTTCTTTTTCTTCTTCTTCTTGATGTTGTTATTGTTGTTATTGTTGTTATTCTTCTTGTTTTTGTTGTTCTTGTTGTTGTTATTGTTGTTCTTGCTGATGTTGTTATTCTACTGCTGCATTTTATTTTATTTTATTAAAAGACAAACAACAACGGTTGTTTAATACAATTGTGGTTGTATGTAGCGTGCTATCCGATTTACTACCACGAGTAATAGACCTTGATTATAAATAACTCACTTACAACCACACCATACCTAACAACGGTTGTTTAACCATTATTATAGATCTTTTGCATCCGTTGCTATACAAGTTTTTTTTTTGTAGTAGTGTTTCCATATCCTTTAACTTTACAAGTATTCATATTTATTGTTGCATATTTGCAAGATTGCATTGATTGTATACTATATAAGGTAGGTCGTGCTTATAGCAATTTAGTTTATAAGCCTAGGTGTGTGATGTATTAATCTTAAGGAATCATCAAAGTCAATTATGCATTTTTAGCATAGAAAATCGTCAACCACCATTGATTTAATTAGTAACCACCATAAAAAAAATGAAAAAAGGTTTGTATTATTTTCTGAATCTATCAATGACAATATTTTCTCCTCTCTATTTATATTTTAATAATGAATATTTGTCTTTTTTTTTTACATACGGACAACATATATATGTCTCACTTTTTTCAATTAAAAATATTTTTTAATTAAATCACACTCAATTTATTTTTTTATTATAATTTATAAAATTATTTTATTATACAAGACTACATGAGTTAGATTAAAAAAAAGACTACATTTATTGGCCAAACCGTATACTTCTTTTTTTATTATACAATATAAAGTATGATTATTATTTTTCTAAATTTATCTTAATTCATATTTTTTATTGAAAAATCACAATTACTTTCTTTTTGACTAAATAAATAATATAATATAAAATAGGATCACTATTTTACTAAATTTATCTTAATTCAAAATTTTTTTACCAAAAAAGATTCAAGGTATATGATTTTATATAGATATTTTATTATATTTGATTGTGTAAATATTTTATAAAAAAGTTTTTACTAAACACGACAACTTAGGTAAAAACAGATTTCGTACATAGCAACAGTTGATTTGATAGTGAAATTAGGCGAAGATATAGGACCCTTTCTAATTGCCGTGAAACACGGTAGAAAACAGCTATAAAAGACACTCCTCATTCTCATTCACATTCACATTCACTTCACCTTTTTCTCTTTTAAGTTTTACCATTTCTGCAATCACCGCGTGTGAAAGTTGAAACCCTAGCCCTATAATCCATGGCATCCAAACCCACAACCAGTTCTTCTTCCGCCGCAATCACAATCTTCAGACCGGGAACATTAGTTGAAATCAGCAACGATGTAGAAGGATACTACGGTTCATGGTTTACCGGAAAGATTGTCTGTTGTCTCCACCACCACAAGTTTGTTGTGGAGTATGATAAAATAATGGTGGATGAGGAGGGAACAATGGGAGTCCAAGAAACTGTGAACCTTTCCCAGCTCCGTCCAATTCCTCCGAAGGAGATCATCCAGGATCTCCAAGTTGGGGACGAAGTTGATGCTTATGATAGAGACAGATGGTGGGAGGGTCGCATCTCTGGCAACTTTGAAAACGGTATGTGGGCAGTTTATTTTATCACAAATAGGAAGTAAAATATTTTTCCGGCTCTTCAAGGCCCTTATAGATCATTCTCCTTCTAAGAATACACTGAATAGTATTTCATTATTTTATTTTAAAGAAATCAAAATAAAACAAATCAATTCTATTTTATTAAATTCAACTTCAATATCACAATATCAGATCCTTAAAACATGATTTAAACACAAATGTCGTCTCAAGAAAAATCTCAAAATATAAGGTCATGACAAAACTAAAAGAATGACCCTCCACACTACATTTTCAAAGAAAATCTATAACTTTGGAACTACCTCTCAATCTCATCTGAATGATAACGTGCATATAAATTTGTACAAGAATAAAATAGAAAAAGAAGGGGGTAAGACATGTCTTACATCATGTAAATGATATAATAACAATAATGGGCAACAAATACCATGTGGAGATATAATCCAAATATCAAACAAAATTATAGAATGCAACACATCTTCACATGTACTTCGTGCAAATATGGTGTTAGAGATATATATCTTATTGTGAATTGAATGTCTTTAAACAAAATATAAAAGATTTCTTTGTGATCAAGAAATACACAAGAGTTAGGGTTAACAAAGATAATAAGGTAAAACAACAAGGAACAACAAGGATGGGTTATAAACTGCTATTCTTTCATTTCTCTTAGAAACAATATTACAAGTATATACAAGAATAACAAATAACCTCTCTCTTAAAATTATAATTTTATCTTCATATTTTTCCTTATACCAAGATGAGAGACTAGCATCCTATTTATAAGAAAAAATAACACACTAACCTAATGGGCTTTTTAACAATTACCCATTACAAGCTAAGCATGCGAATAGACTTCGACCTCATGCTTAATTCTTATCGAATCAGAAGCTACCCTTCAACCATTCTAGAGTTCGATCCAATATCTCACAAATCTCCACCTTGTATCTAACTCTATAACATCAAGAAACTAGCTTTCTTTATGCAGCTTTATCAACTACATACAGTGGTGGAAAAACTTGCAACTAAGCAACATCTTGGTGATCATATCAGCAGCATGTGAACAGACTTCGATTGCTGTTTTACTATCTTCACCCAAGGCTCCACCATAAATTAGGACTCTATTAAGAGACCCATTTATGTATTTTAGAATCCACTTCAATGCTTATCAGTGAGCCTTTCCAGAATTCACCATGTACCTGCTTATAAGACTTACTGCATATGCTATGTCGGGTCTAGTACATACCATAACATACATCAAAGAACCCATTATATTAGCATATAGAATGTTATTCATATAAGTTCTTTTAACATCAGTGTTGAGACACTGATCTATACTCAGCTTGTATTAAGGGTTTGTCGGAGTCACATCAGGCTTTGAATTCGACATACCAAACTTTTCGAGAACCTTCTGAAGGCATGCCTCTTGAGATAAACATAATTTCAATTGCTTTCTATCTCTTCGGATGTCAATCCCAGGAATCCTGGACGCAGCTCCCAGATCCTTCATGTCGAACTCCTTATTGAGTTCAACCTTCACCATCATTACCTCTTCGACATTGTTGTTTGCCATTAGAATATCATCCACATAGAGCAACAAAATAACAAATGAATTACCTGGTCGAAATCTGAAAGAAAACACATCGGTCGAATTGACTTTTGATGAAACTTATGCGTTCCATGAACTTGTCAAATCTCCTATTCCATTGTCGAGGAGATTGTTTCAATCCAAATAAGGATCTATTTAGCTTGCACACATAATCTTCCTTCCGTTTTCGACATACCCTTCAGGTTGCCTCATAAGGATTGCTTCATCTAGATATCCATACAAGAACGCAGTCTTCACATCCATTTGTTCTAGTTTAAGGTTGAATTGGGCCACCGTGGCAAGCAACATTCGAATGGATATGTGCTTCACAACAGGAGATAACACATCATTGAAGTCGACACCTTTTTTTTGAGCGAACCCCCTAGCGACCAATTTTGCCTTGTATCTCTTTGACATCACTCCTTCGACCCCTTCCTTAACTTTGAAAATCCATTTACAGCTGAATAACCTGGCTCCAGCAGGTTTCTTGATCAGTTTCCAGGTATTTTTATCATGAAGAGATTTCATCTCATCATCTATGGCCTTCAGCCATTCAGTCTTCTTTCGACTCGCCATAACTTCCTTATAGTCTATAGGTTCTTCGTCTAGAACCTCACTTGCAGAGATTAAGGCATAAGCTATAAGATCTGCATAGCCAAGTCTCTGAGGTGGCTTGATGACTCACCTCGGTCTGTCTCTTGCTAGCATGTAGTCATTATCCTTCTCCTCATCTTCGACAACATCTTCTGCGTCTTTTTCGACTTCATATGGAGTATGCAATTAGACATCAACATGTTCCACCTCAACAGGAATCTCTCTATGCTCCAGCTCTTCGTCAGCATCATCAGTTTTCTTGAAAGCCATTTTTGTTTCATTGAAAACTACATCTCGATTGGTGATACACCTCCTGCGATCTGGCTTTAGGAACCATAGCCTATAAGCTTTGACTCCTTCAGGGTATCCCATGAACATGCATTTCAGAGCTCTAGGTTCGACCTTGACTTGCCTAATATGAGCATAGGTCGCGCAGCCAAATACTCTCAGTTTGTCGAGACTAGGTGGATGTCCCGACCAAACTTCTTCAGGTGTCTTCATTCCCAAGGCAGTTGAGGGACATCTATTTATCAAGTAAGCTGCTGTCAAAACAGCTTCCGCCCAAAACACCTTCTTCAATCCAACACTAACCAACATGCATGTAATCCTTTCAAGGATTGTTCGATTGAATCTTACAGCTAAGCCATTTTGTTGAGGAGTACCTGCTACAGTCTTATGCCTTACAATCCCAGACTCAACATAGTAACTGTCGAACGTTTCGTTGTAGAATTCAAGGCCATTGTCGGTTCTCAACCTCTTAACCTTTCTGACAGTTTGAGTTTCGACCAAAATCTTCCAACTTTTGAAATTCTCAAAAGTTTCATCCTTCGTCTTATGAATGAATACCCATAGATTTTTGGAATAGTCATCAATGATGGATAGAAAATACCTCGCACCTAAGTGTGAAGGATTTCTTGCAGGCCCCCAAAGATCAGCATGAATGTAATCTAGGGATCCATGTGTCTTTTGTTTGCCTTTGTTAAACTTCTCCTTACAGGATTTGCCAAATACACAAGATTCACAAAACTCAAACTTTTCGACTTTGTCACCTCCTAACAAGTTCTGCTTCCCCTGTTCGACCAGGCCTCTTTTGCTAACATGGCCCAATCTCATGTGCCACAATTCTATCTTCGACACAGGTTTCGTGGATGCAATATTTGTCGAACCACTTACAATCTCAGCCTCAAAGGTATACAAGCCTTGTTTCTTCACGCCTCTCAAGACTTCCTTCGACCCCTTCATGACAATTACGATACTTTTCTCTTCTTGAAAAATGATTTGCGGTCGCTCGCGGATCAAAAACGAGTTTGTTGTAAGAAATGTTAGTATAGCGACAGTGACTTAAAATATCGTTCTCAAGGATTCTTGTAACGAAATAACCAATTACAGTAACAAATTATGGGGGGGTTTGGTTTGATGTAGGTTTTCGATTAAGAAGAAAAAGTACTTAAAAAAATGATTATTAAAATAAGATAAAACGACTAATCCTACTGATTCGGGTTCCGACTTATCATCGACTATTATAACATCAATCCCTAAACGGCTCCAATCCTATTCGATTATGATATTAATCAGACAAGCGCTTACTAACATCAAATGAATTATGTTCCTGTTTACCGAATTAAGCAAACGGTTAAGAATGTGACGAATTAACGAATTAAGCAAACGATAACACACAATTAAATTTAGGAACATGCATACAATCGAATTTAATCAATTCTATCCTATGAACAACAATTGAATTAAGCAAACAATTGCAATCAAATTAAGCAAATGACTTCATAGAAAAGGATTGAAAGGAATCAGATTTAAATTGATATTATAATAACCTCAAAGTGTTGAAACCATACACAGCAGGATTTACCCGGAGGTATTAGTTTTCCATGAGTTCTTCTCCAACCTCTCTTTTTTCGTGAATAGTGTATAGGATATTTTGGCTGTACGGCCAGACCTAGACTAAAGAGGATAAAAACCAGAATTCGGGTCATAACCCAACTGGGTCGAAAATCTAACCCAGACCCAAAACTAAAATACATTCCTAATGCTGTAACTTGAAACGGAATTCTGGAATTTTGAGCTCCGAATCTGACTTCGGCTCCAACACAAAAGTCGTAGCTCTCTCTCTTAGCTTTCCGCCGATTTTTAGAACGCCTCAAACGAATTCCCGGAACTCCAGTTATGATCGTTTCCGTGCAGACTGCTAAAGCTGAAAAATAAAGTGCGAAAATCAAATTAAACCAAAAATAAAATAAAATGTAAAAACATAATAAAACATAAAAATAATCAAAATAAAGTAAAGAAATGCCTAAGTAAAAATATAGGAGAATGTGCATAAATATGCACTGATCAAATTCCCCCACACTTGAACTTTTGCACTCCAAGCAAAATTAAAATAAAACACAACAAAGAAAGCACAAACACATCAACAGATACTCATTCCAGGCTGTAAGTCTTCTTCGGTTAAGTTTGCATCGATAGGTACTAATCTTACACACTAAGGATATCGTAGGAACACTAATCCACAATTGTGCAGACATAAACCTCCTGAATATACAAATCAACTCGAATCATGTTATTAAGTTGAAGCCTAACTTACTCTTCCTCCTTTTTGCTCTTTTTCATTCAGGCGCAATCACATTAAGCCCGTTATCTCCACACACTCATAGTAAGGCGACCGGTTAGTGACTCTGATCCTTTTTGTTTTGGGTTCTGGTACTTACGTGGCATAACCCTTTGCTCACTTAATTGTAGTTGCGGGGGATCGGACCGGAATCCGCCCTACCAAGTTCAGCACCAGAAACCGCTGAACCAACTAACGAGTAATTTTTTTCCAACTTTTTCTTT